CCCCCCCCCTTCCATCTTTGTTTGCTTGCTTTCTGAGATAATTCTCTTAGGGAACGGAACTCACCAAGTAGACTAGTTTGTTGGCCTGTGAGGCCCAGGGGTCTGCCTGACTGGATTACAAATAAGTGTTACCACAACCAACTTCTTTTTATTTGTGGGTCCTAGGGATCTAACTCAGGTCCTCATGCTTGCAAGGTAAGCACTTTACCAAAGAAGCTATCTCCCTTGCTCACAGAGGTGATTTTGGGAGCGAGAACTTGAGGGTGACCTCCTTCCTCTAGGCACATATTTAATAGACAGACCACAGGTTCAGATTCAGAAATAAGACGCTGTCAGGAAAACAAGAACTATAACACCAAGTCAAAATAAGATGCAACGTATACAGGCACTTTGGGTGGGCGTAACAAGACCCACATCCCTGAAATATGCACCCTAAAGACCACTATCCCTTTCTGGTTGCCCTGAAGATACTGGGATATAGTTTTTTTTTTTTTCCACAACTGTAGGCACAAATACAGAAAGAGACTCCTTGTCATTTGTCATGTAAACAAAAGGACACTGAAATGGGACCAATGCTTGTCCATACTTACTATCTCCTGAGAGAGCTATGGCTTGTTCCAATTTGTAGAACGGTGAATTAAGAAGTGGTATCCGGGGCTTATAAAAACAGCTCTGAGGTTAAGAATATTTGCTGCTCTTTCAGAGGACCCAGGTTCAGTTCCCAGCACCCACTTGGTGGCTCACCACCGCCCATAACTCCAGTTCCAGGCACCTGAGCCTGCCTTGGTTAGGAAACATCATGACCAAAGGCAACTTGGGGAGGAAAGAGTTTATTTCACTCAGTTCCATCAAAAGCAATGAGGGCAGGAACTCAAGAAGGGAAGAAACCTGGAGGCAGGAGCTGATGGACAGGCCATGGAGAGGTGCGGCTCACTGGCTTGCTCCCCATGGCTTGCTCAGCCTAGTTTATATAAAACCTACGGCCACTGCCCCAGGATGCCACTACCCACAGTGAGCTAGGCCCTCCCCTGCGATCACTAAGTAAGAAAATACCCTATAGGCTAGCTCACAGCCTGGTCTTATGGAGACAGTTTCTAAATTGAGGTTTCCTCCTCTCTGATGACTCTAGCTTGTGACAAGTTGACATAAAACTAGCCAATACGGACCACCTTCTTCTGACACCCTCAGGCATCAGGCATGGATGACATGTACACATATACACAAAAGGAAAATGCTCATACACATAAAGTAAAATAAATACTCAAAAAAAAAAAAAAAAGAAAGAAAGATGTGTTTGGCATAGATGATTACCAACTCCCTCCTAGTTTCCTTGCCTTGTTTCCCCCCCCCCCTTCTAAACATTTTGAAGTTGCTTTGCGTTTTGGCCACCTTGAGTTCTATGAATTATAACACATCTGATTTATGAAATGAGTTACTAGTTACACACTCCTCAGAACACAGAGCGCTAAGGTGTTTATGGAATGAATGTATACATGCCTTTCCGTCTCCTCTCATGGCCGCTCCCAGGGACAGCAGCATTGCAACTCAGCCTGTCAGGGCACAAATGCGCTTTTCTCTGTGGAGCTGATGTCCTTTCTGCCTGACTGTCCACCTGTCTCTCTGCCCTCTGACCTATTCCCTCTCCCCACCATTTAGACACTGGTGCTCTCAGGTCATTGTCTCAGACACCCCCCTCCCCCCCATGCCTCCCCACAGCGGCATGCACAGCCAGCTTATGCCTGGCGCCCACTTGACTGCAGTCACTACAGGGAAAGGACATAATTAGCTCTCCTCAGCCTGGCAGTTTGTAGAAGAAACATTGAAGTTCATTTCAATAACAGTTTCCCCCCATCTATTTGATACCAATAATGCTAGTTCAACTGAATTTTTCAGCTGAAGTTTTGCATCCACAGGGACAATTATGGTCCCAGTGACCTCAAAGGGAGGTGGGTGTCTTAGCAGTGTGGCTCCCCCCCCCCCCCCCCCCCCCGTGTTCCTGTTTCGTGAGACTTGTTTCTTTGCCCGCTGTGTCTGCATTCCCATGGGAAGGAACATCAAGATGCTTTCACCCAATACAAGCAACTTTCACTTTAATTTTATTGCAGGTGTGTGCGCGCGCGCGTGTGCGCGCACACACACGCGCACGCTTGGGAGAGTTCCATTCCAGAGACTAAGACTACCCAGACTATCTGCTGCTCACCAGCTTCTCAGATGGAGTTAGAGGCCATTACTAATCAGGGACAAGTGCTGAGCTAAGGGGTTACCCGTGCAAACATGGTGCAGAGCTTTGCCCCAAGGAGCTGCCAGTGCAGGTGTCGGGCAGGATAGTCACTCAAAAAAAAAAAAAAAAAAAAAAAAAAAAAAGGAGAGCCAGCCCAAGGGAAGGAGAGATAAAATCAGTGGGGCTGGTCACAGGGAGGTGTTTGGATAGTAATAACTACCTCTATTGAGCCCCTTCTATACATCAGTACTTTAACACCTTCTCTTGAATACAGTCTCAGAAGCTGTGGTGAGAACGAAATGAACTATCTTAAAAAAATAAATCAAATTCCTAAGTGTTTGGTTGACACAGGTGAAGACAGCGTAAGTTGTCACCATCACCTATTGCCTAGGGATATGATGATAAACAAGACTTGTGTGGTTTCTACCTTCAATGAGCTTATAGACAGAAATACAGTCCCCAAATATGTTAGCCACTAGCCACCCTCGTCCATTAATATTAATGTTCAGTTCCTCAGCCACACTAGCTGCGTTTGGTGGAGACCACCGACCCTGCAGAAAGCTCTGTTGGCCAGCCTGGAAAGAGGCAGAGGAAGCAATAAGTACTATTGCTGCTATTCTTATTATAATCAAGGTGTAGAAACCAACACTAGGTGACATCACACAACGAGAACAAGTTCACACGCCTACCAAACGGAAGAACTGGGATTTGAACTCAGGTTTGTCCTTTTCACGTGCCATTTGGGTTGTTTTATGAAGGGAATGAGCCGACCCACAGGTAGAAATCATTTAAAGAGAGACAGCCCCACTGGGGGGGGGGAGTGAATTTTTGGGCAAAGATGTGGATGAGCAAGGCTGGCAGAGGACCACAGGTAAACCAGTCTGGCTGGAGAGGCCGAGATTTGCTGAAATCATGTCCCAGGAGAGGTAAGTTGGAACCTGCCTGTCTTGAATAAAAGCCAAGGAACTAAGAAACTTAGCACTACACGAGGTTGAGGCTGTATAGGATGCAAGCAGGAGTACGGAGTGGCCAGAACTATGTATGCACCAGGAGAAGGCAGCAGTGCCTAGGAACAAAGCTGGGCAGGCCAGTTAAGGATTACAAGGAGACAGGAAGGGATGAACCGAGAGTGTGAAGAAGGCTCAGCACTGGGGCCTGCAGAGCTAAGGTTAAGGTTCAATACTTTGCATCACTGGCTAGTTTCCTTTATTATTGCGGGTTTCGTTTCTGCAACTACGTGGCAGGCCCAGATGATCTCTGAGGGTCTCCTTACCAACAATAAGTAGCTCAGGAGTCTACAAATGTAAATGACATTAGGGTAAGCGAAGCACTAATTTATGTAGTGTTAAATACAGAGGCAAAGAGGATGGCCATCTAGGACCATCCCAAGATGAAGAGAAACTTATTTTCCAGTAACAAGCTAAGTGTGTGCAGGAACTAGCTTGCCTTTTATTCTGGGAGGACGATGAGCTCCGGGTTCAGAGGAGAGAAGGAGAGTGAGAAAATAATGGGCTTAAAAATAAAACAATGGGCTTGTTTTTTAAAGAAAGTTGTAGAGTTAGAGGCCGTCGTTTTACATCACCACGCCTCAAGATAGCCTTTAAACTATTTTGACCTATGATCCACAGATGGGGAATAATACCATTCACATCAGGTGTCCAGTATTTATACGAGAAAACAAAGGGTTTATCAGACAGCATTTGACCTTCCAAAGGGCAATGAGCTCTAATATTTTGTTGTTGTTGGATTCTGGTAATATATTTTGTTGGATTTTCAAAAGCACTAAATTTGTCCGATGGCGTATTCATGTGTCAGGACTCAACAAGTTTTCTTAAGTTGGAGGCAATGGCAGGGCGTCCTGTATAGACACATCCAGGAGCGAGCTGGAGAGGCAAACCAGGGCAGGACTCTCGGCTGGGCGAGTGTAAAGAGCGTGTCGCTCCGATCGCTAGGAGCGCGCAGAGAAAAGCAAACCCCTGGAGCCGCTAGGTGGGACCCTCCCTCCGGGACGGCGCAGGAGAGGGCCAGGCTCCCTCCCGGCGCTGCCTTCCTTCCCGCGGCGGGCGGGCGGGCGGGCGATCGGGGAGCCCCCCGGGCACCCTGCACCCACTGCCGCGGCGCCGGCGAGCACCGGGCCCGCACGCGCCGGGACCGAGGCACTTTCCCCGGCCGTGGCAGCCGGTTCGGCGCGGCCGGCGCGCGCGCACGCCCACACGCGCGCACCCTCGGGCACGCACACACAAAGTTGTGGCCGCCTCCACCGCGGAGCTCCGGTCGTCGTCGGGTCAGCGCACGGCGCTCCCGCCCGGCCCGGCGCGCACGGCCTCTCGGCTCCCCTCGGGCCGCGCTCGGCCCCCGCCGACGCCGGGCTCCGTCCTTCGGCTCGGCCTTCCCCGCCTCGCATCCGTGCCATCGGCGCTCGATTGCGCGCGGACTCCCTGGGGCTCTTCCCGGCTGGTTCGCTCGCGCCCGCCCGCCCGCCCGCCCGCGCGCCCGCCCGCCCCGCCCGCGCGCCCGCCCGCCCCGCCCCCGCCCCCTGCTCCTCCCGGGCAACTTTTGCCGGCGCCCCCGCCTCGCAGCCATGCGGAGCTGAGCTCCGGCCCGGGCCCTGGCCGCCGCAGCCCGCCCCGGCTCCCGCCCTCGCGGACCCGCCCGGCCCTCGGCCTCGGCCTCGGCGCCGTAGCCGCCCCGGGCCGGCCGAGCCCCCAGCGCAGGGCCCGGGCCGCGGCCACGGCGGCGGCGGCGGAGGCGGAGGCGCGCCCGCCCGCCCGCCCGCCCGGCCCCCTCCCCCGGCGCCGGCCAAGTGAGGCGGTGATGCGGGCGCTGGCGGCCTGGGCCGAGCCGAGAGCGGAGGAGACGCAGGCTCAAGATGGCAGATTCCCACTGAGGCCGAGGGGGCCGAGCTCGCGCGCCGCCTTCCCTTCTCCGTTGCCATGAGCCGCGGACACCCCGGCCCCGATGGCCCCCGTGTACGAAGGTAAGGGCGCCCGCCCGCCCGCCCGCCCGCCCGCCCGCCCGGGCCCCGCAGCTTTGTTCTGCCCGCGCGCGGCCGCTCGCCCCGCAGCCCCCGGCGGCAGCCCCGGCCCGGACGGCACCGCGGCACGGTGGTGCTCGCTGCAGCCCAGGCGCCCGGGCGGGGGTGTGTGCCGGGTGGGCTGCTGCCCAAAGAAAAGGGCCGGGCGGCGGGCGCGCAGAGCCGGCTCCCGGGCTGCTTTCTGTGTATCTGTGATGGGTGGAGGTGACGCGGGGCTCCCCCGCCGCCTTCACGCGCTCTCCCCACTCTTGTGCGTCCTCTCTGCTCCCTTCCCAAGCGTCTGCACTCCCGCCCCGCACTCCTTTATTCTTCCCGAGCCCCCGATATTTTTGGGGGGCGGCGGCGGCGGCGGCCGTGGAATCCGATTATAAGGGTCCAGGCGGTGAGAGAGGGTAGAGATGAAAAGTCCATTCCAGACCCTGGCAGAACAATGACACGGGCTCAGAATCTCCCCGCGGGCAGCGGGTGCAAGCGAGGATGGAGTTTGGCTGGGGCGGGGGCCGGGGGCGAGGGAGGCTCCCTGGCTCGGCCGGGTGCGCCCGTGCGCTGGGCACCCTCACCTGGCGTCGGCCGATTGATTTTTCCCATTTGACTGCCTCGCTGAGAAAGGAAAGGTAAGGCGATGCGGCTGCCTCGCACACTCTTTCGGTTCCCTTCGGTCAGTTCCGTCAGCTGGCAGCGAGAAAAACCAAACCCGAATCAACTAAGTTTCTACACTTCTCTGTGTGTTTTTGGGTGCGTGTAGTGCGGGGGCTTTTTCAGCCAGAGTGTGACCGATTTTTCAGGTATTTTTCAGGTCGTGAAAACGTTTCTCTCGTGAAGTCACTGAAATAGCAGCCTTTTTGCATACTTTTTAGCGTGGGTCCATCTGGCTTTCTTTCGGTTTTGTTCAGATAATTCTGTGGATGAAATCGCAAATGAGAGGGAAAACGGGTTTGCCCGGAACCAAGAGGAGGGGCGAGGGGAGATTGTAATCCTAGGAACCCGGGGAACTGTTGGGGCCCAGTGAGACAGGGATCTCATTAATAGTTTTTATCTCTGCTAGGAGAGGCTGGTTTAAAGGGGGGGGGGACTTATCTGAAAAGAAAATCTGTTATTAGTTCCAGGGCTCCAAATGAATTAGGTTTCTGCACGGACTAAAGTTACCAGTCCGGCTCTGAATAATGAGGCTGTAAATAACCTGTGTACTGTAAATATTTTTTTCCCAGAGTCTCTTAGAAACAAAGAGGCTGTTTAGAAAAGCGACAGAGAAATGTTATTCCAGGGGCTTTCCTCTTTGATTCTGAAGAACACAAGGTCCATTTAACCGTTCCACAAAACAAAACAAAATTTCTGATCATTGCACCTCATAGAACGGGAACAAGCCAGTGGGTATGTGAACACGTAGGAGAGACTGTGTCGGCCATTCATTGTTCATCTGTTGTAGGGGAGGGGGTTGCAGTCAAAGCTCCCACTGTCTGGAGTGTTAAAATGAAACAGTTTTCTCTTTATTAAGTGCCTCCTTGACACTCCCTCTGCTGGACACTCGGGGTGAGCGTTCTAGAAGGAACTTGGCATTGAACCCACAACTGTGATAGAGGGCTGCTTTCCTCTTCCAGGGGGCTGGGTAGGTGGGTTAAGGTGTATTTTGTCAACTTTGTACAAAGTCACCCTGGGGGCTGCATTCATCATGTTGATTTCATTTGGAATCCATGAGGAATGTAAGCTGCCCGCGGGGGGGGGGGGTGGTAAAGGCCTAGTATGGTTGGCCCTATGACTTTGTTCTTTTAGTGATTATGTCAGATAAAGAATTACAGGTGTGTAAGGTGTTACAGTGTAGGACTGTGGATCTCAGGGGGTGTCAGCTCATAGTTTTATTTTCCAATCCTTCTCTGTCCCAGGCAACCTAATTTGTTACCTCTTTCAAACCTGGGCTTCCTTGGATCTTGTCCGAGGGTTCTCTGAAGTGTTCTTTTGTTTGTAGCTTCTATGGGAACATCTCTGTACATCTCCATAATTATCTTCCTAATCTTGCTCAGCACAGTTTCCCTCCCGGCCCAGAATCACTCAGTCCAAAGCTCAGGCCTGTTCTCTTTGAGAGAGACCGTTAGGCATGCTGTGAGACAGATAAATGACCTCCATAGTCAAGGACTATGCTTTGAGGACCTACATGAACTCAGTGTGTGTGTCCAAGACTACAGTGGCCTCTCCTTTGACCCAAAGTGACAATCTGTGGATTTAGTGAGCCTGATTTTTACCATGTCTCAACCAGAACCCCAGGGACTGACTCTCTCTCTCTCTCTCTCTCTCTCTCTCTCTCTCTCTCTCTCTCTCTCTCTGTGTGTGTGTGTGTGTGTGTGTGTGTGTGTTTGTTTGTGTGTGTCTTAAATGAGCAGGGCTTTTCCTACAGACTTCTCCTAATATCCCATATGATCCTTCTCAGAAGTCTAATGACACATGAGACTTTTTAGCTGGAATTTCTCAAATGGAATGTGACTGGAGACTGAGTGAAGCCTGGAATTTAGAAATTTAGACAGGCATGCTGCTTTTGAAACAAAGCATATTTGATTATACAAATTAATAAATGGCAAAGTGTAATAAGTCTTCTAGGACTTTCTTAAAGAATAGGTTTATAAATAGCACATTAGTTTTCAGTGACTTGATACTGATCAAGTTAAACTTCTTGTAAAACAAAAAAAAAAAAAAAAAAAAAAAAGGGAGGGGGTATTTTCTTTAGTAGGTTAAGCATTTGCCTTGTGATTGTTCCTCCATCAGCTTGCTTCCCAATGCCTTTTTAGTATGTAGTGCAAAGGTCAACCACAGGGGTCCGTATCTCTATGGGTTCCCAATTAGAGGGACCTAACTATGTCTCACTTAGCTGAGATGTGGAGGAAACCAGAGAAGTTTTCACACTTAGGCTTACTGTAAACACTGGCATGTTGAAATCCCTCATCAGATGGCCCCAAAGACACCTGGCCACCTAGCTGAGCCATCTCCTTGCAAAAGGATTTTGTGATGTATCTTTGCCTGTGTTTGTTTAATATGTTTTAAGTTAGTAGTATAACTATTGTTTTCCTTGTTGTTACAGTTGAATAGCGAAGCAAAAACTCATTAGTTTTATTTTTAATACTGGACAGGATGGCAGAGCACTCAAACCAGAGAAACTGGAGTTTGTATCTAGCTTATGACCTTGGTATCTTACTTTTCAGAACTTTGAGCTTTTATTGGATTGTGTGAGGATGCAATTAGAATTTGGTATTTAGTGGAGTTACTGCCTAGAGTAGGCATTTTCTCAGTATGTGTTAAATCCCCCAGTCTTCTGAGTTGCTTACAGGCATGACAACCCCAGGGAAAGTATAACCCACAAATAGTTTAGCGAACCAGTAATAGCATTACAGTTTGAATTATCAATCTCCTGCTATTCCTTTTCTAGTTTGGGAATCAGCAACAATAAACCCCCCCAGCCATGGAAGAAAGAACCTTTTTTTCCCTCCTCTGTGACCTTTCCAGAGTGTCTTCCCACCGAGCTTGTGCTGGCTCAGGTAGAGAATGTCTCTTCCATGGCAGTACTCTTGTGTTATGTTACACGTGTGCACACAGATCCTGAGACAGACCTGAGGGGCCGCAGCTGTGCCCCTGGGAAGGCACCCCTAGCAAGGACCCAGTTGTATACAAGGTGGCTGCAGGCTGGTAAGGAGTCCCCAACAGTTGCTTGCTGGTTCTTCTTAGAGGAGAGGCTCCCACCCAGCCAAATGCTAGGGTCTGCCTCACTAGGCATTAAACATGAATTTCTTACCAAAGAAAATTGGGGGCTTTATGCAAATGCTTATATTATTCACATTTTACGTTTCATGCCCCTTTATTTCTTTCTTCCTTTCTCCCATAGAGCAGTCTTAAGGATCGACCTTTGAGGTTTGCACAGAACAAAGTAGCGATGACCAGAGGGTATGACATTTGTGCATTTCTTATTGCTCTCTGAATGCATGCTTTGCTAGTGCTCTCTGGCAGCCTTAGTATGACGGTTCAACCGCTTGGGGTTGCAGTCAAAGGCTGGGTTCGGAATAATACTAGCAGACTTTGTGTAACCACTAATAGAGTGTGAACTTGAAAGGCCCAAGCTCATAATAGCTCCATTTCACGTGACAATATGTTGTTGAAGAAAGGGGGGAAAAAACCCCAGAAAATTGAAAACCCAGAGTACAGGAAGATCTTCGTTTTTTCTTTAAAAGGAACTGAGAATCTTGGGGCTGGTAATGGTGACTGTGACTTGGGTCCTGTTCTTTCTGCACTCTGCATGCTGATCATCCTGTTTGTTCCCTCGCTCCCTGCGCAGACCAGGGCGCATCTTCACACATTCCCTGTGCCCTGGGCCTCCTGGCAGGTTCTGCATTTGGAGAAATGGCAAAGACTTGGCCTCTGACCTCTGGGAGTTCAGGAATGGAGGAAGCGAAAGTCAAAACATTTAAACGTGTACAGACAGACTCACTGGGGAGAGGGTCACCCAGATGCAGTGGTTGCTTGCTTGCTTTTTTACTTGTATGTGACAGTTCTTACATCCTTTTGTTTTCTTATAATGTAAAGGGATGACCCCAACTTCCTTTCTCTTTAGTTGAACTAAAAGAATTATGTATGAATTTCAAAGCTTCCCATTACAGATTTCCTTAGACTTTCTTAAATATTAGCATCTCTTTTGCATAGGATGCTGTTTTCCTCTTTCATTATTTAACTTTTATCATGTGTCCTCATGAACATGAATGCAGTTCTCACGTGCACACGCTGCTGGGGTACGTTTTGCTTTCTACATCTAGCGTTGAAGGCTGGTGTGGTACCCCGTGCATGTGCGCCTGTTGGAGAAGTTGTCCTGGCTTCAACATCTCCCTTGTGTTGCAGATAGTCATGTGCTGGGGACTCACCAGCAGGATGTGTGGGGCAGTCAGCCACACAGCAGCTTTCAGCAGCTCCTT